CCCCAGTGAAATATATAAAACAATTTTTTCTGTTATTTTCAATGATAATTTAATACTAATGTACAGCTGTAAATATTTGTTCATCTGTATGAATAAAATACTGGACAGTACATACATCACGTTCTCATAAAAAAGCTAAATAAAATAAAATTACTGGCTCCAAACCCAAACTTATAACCATAAGAAAATATCTCATTTTCTATGTATTTATACAATACACATGATTCAGCACATTACAAGTCATCATTCTTTTATAAAGAAGGAATCATTACAACATTATACTTAGCACACTTAAAATGTATAAAAAAGACATTTTTAATAATATTGACATTTTGTTATTATTATTTCTACTACGCAGACCTTCCATTACCTTCTAAAAGCTCATTTCAGCCAACACATATTCAGTCACTGTTTTTTAAATAAAGTTACAAGATTTTACACATTTAACATTTCTTTTCTAAAAGCATCTTTTTTTGCCTCTCTCACTTTCTCTTTCCAACTTATTTAGCAGTAATTGGAAAATGTTAATAAAAAAACCTTGCTGCAGTCTGAACAAGAGGCAGAATTAAAATATGAAATATTAATTATTAAAGGCCTTTTCAGTAATTATCCAAACTGAGCAAAGAAAAGAATGTAGAAAAACTGATTGATCAATTGTGTCCAGGAAATCTAGACCTGGAGTCCACCTCTTGGTCAAAACCCACCATTTGATAAACTCTATGGAGTCAAATTGTTTTCACGTACACGAGTAATAGATAAAGAAAAAGTCACTTACAGAGAAGATTTAAACATTCAGTGGTTTGACACCCACCCTCACCTCAGTGTGACCCCCCCCCCAGCCTTTACATGTAAATCCCACAAAAGATGTACATATATGTATATATACAGATTATGTTAATGTGTGTAAAAAAAAGTAGATTTTTTTTTATTTCAAATTGTCAGCCACTAGAGGGCACTGGTGCGACTTATGCCCCGGAGCAACCTGTGTATGTTTTTTTTTTCTTCTTCATTGTGCATTTTTTTGTCTGGTGCGACTTATACTTCGGAGCAACTTATAGTCCTATATATATATATATTTTAGAAACTATATTTTTGCTCATAGTCTTCCACCATCTAAAACTCATACGGTGACACAAACAGGGTGACCTTTGTCAGGTAGCGACCGAGCAGATCATTGCGCTCCAGCTCGCTCATTTCCACCTCAGCCTCCAGAGTAGCCGGGCCCAATATGGGCGTCACCAGGAGTAGTGTACCGGTCTGTCGGCCCGAGCGCTGCACACTGAAGTGACCTCTGCTCTTGCCTCCTGCCAGGCCGAAACGCAGCGTATCGCCCAGCACTCGAGCTGCTGACACTCGGAAAAGGACTCTGGGGGCAGACATGTTGGACACCACAGGGAGGTAGTGGAACGAGATTGAGTTTGGAGCCTGAGTGCAGGCCACATCTCCCAGCATGCATGGGTTCCTCTCACAGCGCCTGGAAATAGAAACACAGTCAGTTGATTTCAGCTGACTCTGATTCCAAACGTCAAAGCCATGGGACAGAGATGTGTAAACATTTCCGCATTCATTCCAAATGTCAGCGCTCACATCAATCTCTCTGTCAGCAAGTCATCAACAAGACTACAGGGTGGAGTCAAAGTCACTGACAGAGACAAGTCGGAGACAGAGGGTGTGATGATGTTTTAATGGAGTCAAAAGACTGACGTTGTTGTTGTTGTGTAATTGACTGGAATCAACTGTCTCCATCTGACCATTGTTGAGATTTCTTTCTTGTGTCATAATACTTTATGTCACATTACAACACTACACTGTCATTTCCACTGATACACTGACGTGAGTTTTACACAATGAATTAAAAAAAAAAAACCCAAATATTTGCAAACCCACTTTCCTGTACCCAAGTCCATAAAAAAAAAAAAAAAACATTTTGCATCTGTTACATTTACAGGAACCACCCTGAAGGTCCAGTGGAATTCTTCCACAGTGCCAGACCTCAGCCTGACTCTCAGCCTGGGCTGCTGTTAGTGGAGAGAAGCTAAATGTTGGGTGAAGAAAGTATGTAGGCGACATGGCTGTGAAAGCCATTGTTTTTGAATTTGGCTGTATCCCTCTCCCTGTCATTTATACTTCATCCGGCTCCTTGACTTAACCTGAGGTGAGAGGTTTATGTGTTTTTTTTTCACTCTCTTGCTTTGTTTGTGTTTGTGTTTATTGTCCAACTCGGTTGTTTGTCATTACATTTTGCTGACTTCGTTTGTTTGTTCAAGGACAGTTAGCTTGTTAGCTACAGCCTGAGAACAGATTAACGAGACACAACTCTGTGTGAAAGATCTTAATTTTGACGACTTTTCCACCTTATACCCTGTTACAAAGATCAATTATCATACTTTTATAGTGGTCTCTCGTCTATCGCGGGGGTTACGTTCCAAGACCGCCCGCGATAGATGGAAAAACCGCGAATTTGAGATGCGATAGTTAGTACGCCATATTATTTATGTATATATTAACCCTTTACGAACTCTTTAAAAGGGTATCGTAGGACGTGAACTATGGCAAAAACGTAACGAAACCTCCACAAATCTCATTTACCTGCACGCACAGGTTATTTTTATATACCGCAAAAATCCGCAATAGAGCGAAAAAAATACGAGAATACATTTAATATATTAAAAACCCACGAAGGCGCGACAGCTGGACCGCGATACAGCGAGGGACGACTGTATTAAGTACATTTAAAGTTGCATCACCTTCTGAAAGTTATACATTTATAAAAAAATTCAAATGTTAGACCACATCCCTCACCTCCAAACATGCTCAAAATATTAACACAAGTGCAATGAGACATTTGCCACTTTTCCAGTGACAGTCCTGTATGTGAGAGTTGTGAAACACAGGTGAAACGTCAAAAGCTTTTGGTTTTTAAACCTTTTAGTAAATCAGCAGCTTAAGGTGAAGTGAGAAGAGGAAAGATTTGATTTTTATCAGTGTGATTCATGATCTTACATTGGTGACGTCTTTATGTATGTGGCGTTTTTCATGAAGGGACATTCCACCTCCACACACTGGAAACCTCCAAATGTGTTCACACACACCTGGTCTCCGGTGCAGTTGTGCATCTGGTTCTCACACTCATTAATGTCTGGATAGAGAGGGACAGAGAACAGGATTAGAACCTCAACTAAAGGAAGTATAGAGGTCAAAAAGTCTCAGGTTTCTGACCTGTGCAGCTGCGTCCATCACTGGCCAGATCATAGCCGTCTGGACAGAAGCAGTGGAAGCTGCCAGGTGTGTTGACACACTGATGGACACACAGAAGTCCGGGCTGTCCCAGAGGAAACAGACGACACTCGTCGATGTCTGCAACACAGATGCAACACTGTTGAATGAGGAAGAATCATGACAAACTGCAGTCTTAAATCATCCTTTAATTCTTTTCTCACCTGTGCAGATATTGTTGTCCCGGCCTGATATGGTGAAGCCCACGTCACAGGTGCAGCGGGTGGAGCCCAGGAAGTGAGTGCAGTGAGAGGGCCGGACGGAGGCGAAGGGTGAGGAAGTTGTGGGGGAGAATGGGCGAGCAGTTGGCGAGGAGGTTAAGGGAGGAGATATGACGGAGGAGGATGCTGAGAGAGCGGCAGAGACGGGGAAGGATGAGGAGGATGAAGAGCGAGCAGGGGGAGAGAAGGAGGGCAGGGAGTTACCAGTGCTGTTAAAACCTGAAAAACAGAAGAAAATTAGTTGATTAAAAATATACAGATTTTATAGAAACATTTTTGCTAAAATACAGAGATATAATATATAAATATATTTGTTACATTTTTTTTCTCTGTACAATCAGTCCTGTGAAGTTTCTGTAACTCACGTCTGCACATTGGCTTCTGCCCACTCCACTTGAATGACTCCAGGCACACTCGTGTTCGAGGACCAATCAGCTCGTACCCTGGTTTGCACAGGAAGTGGACCTCGTGTCCCACATCAAACACTCTTCCCAATCTGCGGCCGTGAGCAGGAGGGTCTGGTTTGGGGCAGGAGGCTGTGACCGAACGAACACAATGTGGCATGTATGTCAAACTGTAAGGTCATGTAGTAAACGTGAAGTAATACTGCATGTATTATAACTGCATTTACTGTATTTGTTCAAATGTATTGTCATTAATCGTATATAATAAATGGACATGGCTGTTCAGCTAAGTGTAAAATACAACCCAGGAAACAATCTGCTATACATTTTCATAGCCATTATTTTACATTGTGATGCATGAGTACAATGATGAGGCGCCCTCTGGTGGTTGAGCTATGTTTCGGTTTCACTTTTAAATATAGTAATGCACCAATATGTGCATTTCTTATATGCAACCATATCATTTAATAATAACTCTGTATGCTTTGTTAGTGGGTTAAAAAGTAATCTTGCTCATTGGTACATCTAGTGGCATGGAACTGTATTGCAACCTCCTCATTCTCTTATTCTTCCTCTCTTGTTGACAGGTTAACATGTTCCCTACCGTTCTTGCCGTTATTGAGGATGGCCATGGTGCTGTTGTGCACAGCAATAAGCTTTTTCTTCAGAGACCTCAGGCCCTGCTGATATGACGCTTCATGGACGGCCAACATCTTCTCAACCTGTCGCAGTGAGGTCAGCAGGTCATGAGTGGATGGACACTCCTGTTGATGGGAGGAAGAGTAGTGCAACCAAACAGGTAATTAGGTCGTGAAGACTAAAAGAAATCTGAGGGCTCTGTGGTTAATGTTGTGTTGTTTTAATACTTAAAGCAGTGATTCCCAACCACTGTGGCGTGGCCCACAACTGGCTCAAAACTATTATTTATTTATTGCATATAATTTTTCTTTGCTCGTCAAAGCATAAAAGACAGAACAATTAAATCCTCTTCTGCTAGGGGGCAGCAGATGGCTATGAAAACTAAAAAAAAGATAATAAGAGCTGTTGAAGAAGATCTTTGTCAGTGTCTTTCTTCAATTCCTGCCAAATTATCAGCATCGTCCTCAACTAAACAAGCTTAGATTTTAGTCAGTTATAGGGTCATTTAAATTAAAAGGTTGTTATATTTCATTATATACTTTTTGTGAGATTTTTGTTTGGTGGTGTGCCGTGGGTTTTTTCCAGATGATATATATGTGCTTTGGCTCAAAATAGGGTTTGGAAACACTGACTTGAAGGTTGTAAAAGTTGAGTTCATCTTGACACCTTGTACTCATTTGTTTACCTCCCAGTCATTTATTAGATGTTCTGCTCTTAAAATAATCCTAAACATGAATAAACTCCGAATAGAATGGAACCAGTTCTAACCCTGTTCTTAGTATATCTCTATGAGGAAAAAACCCATCTCTCGGCACGTTTCACTTGTGAGCTTCATGCACAAAAGTGACTTTTTTTTTTTAGCTGCAATAACACCTAGGTGAAAACTGGCCCTGAGCTCCAGCTGCTGACCCTCAGTCTACAACACAGAACCACAGGGAACAACATACAACACACACCACGGAACTGGAGCAGCAACAAGAAATCAGCACAGTACGAACATGTCGGTGTTGGGGTGTCTCAGAGGAGGAAGCCCACGAATGGGTGAACCAGAGTTCACTGTTCTCCACTGATGGAACATCAAATGTAAATGAGTCTCATTCAGCTAGAACAGAGCTAAGGTCCACATCCAAAGTATTCATTTCCTGCACATACAAACATCGGTTTAGGGAATTCCATCTATGCTGAAAGTTGGCCAAATTATTATTATTTTTAAATAAAACAAACATGCATCTGATGATGACTCATGCTGTGGAAATAAAGCTGCATCAACAAGAAAATACAGATATAAATATAAATATTAATACATTGTATAATAGGAAATAGAATTTAGCAAAACCACAACATGTTGATTCAACCTGAGTGACCAAAGTGAAAATGTAAAAAGTAAATCAAGGGATTTATAATACATTATCCATTAATAAGATTATTAGTTAGTAATTAAGACACCAAATAATATGGAATCATCTGAAATTTCATTTTTTTACCTGAGAATTATTTTTTCATTTCTGTTATTTCTAACAGTTGTAACATTTCTAACATTACTGCAGATTAAAGACACTAATCACTTTGTCTTAGCATCAAAAAAAAGTTATTAAACTCTGTCTTTGTGTCCTTCCAGTGAACCTTTACTAACATCAGAGGGAAACCCACGGAGCCCGACGTGGAGTTATTATCACCTGTAGTTACCTGAGCAGAGGAGAAACCGATGTGATGAAGAGTCAGCATCAGTACGACGACCGCTGTGGGCTTCATGGTGAGAAGATCCTGATGTGATCTCAGCCGTTAGGAGATCGATCTGTGTTCTCCGCTCCTCCACAGCTTCCCTAAAGAACAGTGTTCTCTCTCTCTCTCTTTCTCTCTCTCTCACACACACTTTCTCTCTCGCTCTCTTTCCATGCTGCTTTTGAGGGCACTTGCCAAATTTCACTCACTGACATCCTCCCCTGCCCCTCCCCCTCCTTCCCTCACCCTTGGTCTATGTTAGATGTTTTGGAGGCTGCAGGAGCAAGAGGGGGACAAAGAGAAGGAAGAGGAGGAGTGGGAGGAAGAGGCGAGCTGCTCCCACATCTGGAACACACATTCACTAATTTTAATCCATCAGCTCGACCCAGAATTAGATGGGCTAATTATAAGGAGAGTCAGCTGGCACTGTGGTGTCTTTTAATCATCATCTGCACGACTAAACCGCTGCACTGTAGGGACTGTCCGTCTAATTCAGGAATGTGACTCCTGCTCCAATTACAGTGACTTTAAATGACCGCCATTTAAAAAAGCCCTCTGTCGGCAGCCTCACAGAATAATGCCATGCGGCTCTTAAATGACAGGGCGTCCGATAGCCCCGCCTGATTGTTGCCCCTCAAATGCCCCCCGCCCCAGACCCTTGCTACCCCAAAATTCAGACTAAAAGGAGACTTAAAGAAGCCTGCAGCTGCTGCTTGACATGCAAACTGGGAGTCATATACAAGGCATGATAATGGCAGAGTATGAACATACACTATAATCTCACATGACTTGAAGTTTGTGGGGTGCAGAAAAGCAAATAAAACATGAAAATTGATAGTTCTAAAAGTATGTAGAAGTTTACTATTTATAATCCAACAAACAAGACTTTGTAAAGTGGAGTTTCCTCATGAAACAACTTTAAATTAAAGCATCGGTCACCACAGGCACGCTGTGCCACAGGAGCCATACCTGACTAAATGTTTCTTAGTCCATGATAACAAGGAAATGTCATTACTTCCATTGGAATTTCACAGGCCTTTATTCATTGACAAAGTTGAAAAGTTTGATTAAAAATTTACTACACTGTCAGCGAAGAAAACAGTTGACTCTACTAAATACCCATTAAGAGAGTAACTATTTGAACTGGCTTTCATTCCAGTTTGGTTGAAAATTTGATGTTTACTCTGCTTTGAAAATTGTTTAATGCAATGTGAGTAAACATGATTGGATGTTATATTTTTTCCATTATATTCACTAAAACTCACTATTTTACACTTTTTATCCTAATCATTCATTACAGAACACACAAAGAGAACATGCAGAGACTGGAAGACCATCTGTCACCACAGTGGATCCAACTGGTGATCGTCTTGCTGTAAGGTAGGAACATTGACCACTTTGACACTGTATTGTCTCCTAGGTTAGCAGCATTGTCATACAGGTAAATAAAACATTGAACAAAGCGAACAAGTAGTTCATTTATTTTTATTTTTATTTTAATAGTAGGGAAATTGTTGTGTTGCAGTACTCATTAAATCCACTTGGTGGTGCCCCTGATTATTATTCGCATTTGTTTTGATACAACAAGGTAGGCGACAGGAACACTGAGAGACTAAAACAGAAACAAAAAACAAATCTGTTTATACGAATTGTTTCGTGACAAAATGACCAAACAATGTGTTTGGAAAATAATTAACTTCAAAGTGACTAAGTTATTGTTGATGAAGTTCCAGATGTTGTTTCTCAAATAACAAATGATAAAATACTTCTTTTTAAAAAAAATACTCCTCCTGCTGCTTTTCTCCTGCCGCTCTCACCCAGGAACATAACCTCCTTTGACAGAGGTAATTAAAGACATGCACACACTCGACATACAGTGTGTTTAACAGAACTGATGTTTGTTGACCTGCGGTGTGATGGATGGACCCTCGTTGAAATGCATGCTGGTAGGCTGTTTGGCTGCTGCTGACAGAGTCTGATGCCAAGATAAATAAATGTGCCCAGGAGACGGCCCGGAGCTCCTCATCATCACGTTTTAATTAGATTGGACAACTTTAATTTAGATGTAATCGTTTGATGGATTTGGTAATTAAAGGAGATTTAGATGATGAGCGGTCGGTCACAGTGGAGAGCAAAGCAGCAAAACAGCTGGAGATGCTGCTGCTCAACTCTAATACAGCAGGGACTCTGGAATACCAGGGATCTCCACCAGAGGGCACAGCACCTCTTGTAGCACCCCATGAAATCCAATAAAAGATTTATGAAATACATATTTTTATTTATTTTTTATTTATTTACATACAAACTGCCCCTGTGTAGCACTTTTTTGCATTTTAACGAATGTTTATAAAGGACATTTTTCTATTCTCACCAAGTAGGAAAAAAAAATTCCAACATGAACTTTGTCAGAATTAATACATAATATAACATTTAAAATGCCCTGGTGAACCCTGTGGATTCTATCAGCCACTGTTTAGATCACTGATGTGTACAAAAAGTCTGTAGTAACATTTCTGTGCTGTTTTTGAGGTGGGGTCTGTTAACTTAAAGGGTTTTTGGTAACAATTACTTAGATATTTGTATATTTAGATGTGAGGTATCTCTGACCCCCCTAATACCTCCTCCGTCCCTCGCTCTTTTCTCATTGTAGTTACATGCTCACTTATCCAATCCTTTCCTCTCTTGTGCATATAAATGAAGTACCCCCCCACCCTACAGTGTGTTGGTTGGTACAACCCTCTGCCATATTGAGTAGTCATCCTCTCTCTCTCTCTCTGTAGCTCGGAGTGTGTGATGATCAGCAGGAGTCCAGTCTTCCCCACACTCTTCTCCTCACCACCTTCCCTCCTCTGCTCTCGTCTCCTTCTCCTCCTGCTCTGTAATGACCCATTTCAACGGCAACTACCACCGAGACCGAGGTGAGTAGTCTTTGTACTGAGTGCAGTAGTAGTGAGTAATTTACTTTAACTGTGATGAAGACATGTGCAGATGTGTACTTTCTGTGAGTGTGATTTGAGTGTTATATTCAGTTTAACTGCTTATATTTGACAGACAGGGAACTTTAGGTTTAAGAGTTAAATTCAAATCATTTCTTACCATAACAGAGTTGATGATGATGCTAAGCATCAACAAGATAATGGACACACTGGACACAAAGCGGGATGGAACTGCCAGGCAGTAGTTAGCCCTGCAGGAAAATTCACGGATGTAGTGAAGAAAGACATGGAGGCGTTCGGTCAAGTAGTAAAGAGCAGTGATTCTCAACCACTGGGCCGTGGCACACTAGTGTGTCGTGGAAAATTACCCAATTTCACTTAATTGGTCCAAAAATTATTATTTACTTATTGCAAATATTGTTTCTTTGTTTGTCAATGCACGACAGGCAGAGCAATTAAATACTCATCCGCTAGGTGGCAGCACTTTTTGTGAGATAATTGTTTGTTGGGAAACACTGGTCCAGAGACATAGTAAGATACAGGTAGATGACCCACTGTGAAAGAAACAGCTCTGAATAAATAATGTTTCTAAGTCAGACATTGTCCACTTAAATAAATGGATGTACATCAACGCTTCTTCTCTGCCGGTGAAGTTAATTGTTGACATGTTGCCATCCATCCTTCCTGGATGACTGTAACTAAGTGGTTTCTATTTAAGTAAATCGTCAGTTGTTTCTGGCGACAAATTCACAACTATGACTATGAAACTCTTCAAAACACTGAACTGTATCTTAAATAACATCATTCCTACACATTTCCTCTTCTCATTGCACTTAACTCTTCTGTCCACGACCCACATATGGATCCACTGCACATTCGTTACAAAGAGCTGGGTTCCAGGTTTTGCTTGTTTATCCAGAAAATGTTTGAAAAATCGTTGCTCATATCCTCAGTGTCTGGAGCCACAGATGAGGAGGATGATCAGTGATTATCAGAGTTTCTGAATCTGGGCCCAGCAGCTGTGTGATGGCCCTAGTCTGAGGAAGTGACCCTGAAAGTCTCCCGTATTATTGTTTTTTACCGCTGTGAGAATGAATGCACCCAGAAAATAGATGTGACAGGAAACTCCTGTGACTAAACATCTGCTGGTAAATGTAATGTTGGAGGTTCACACAGGCTGTCCAGTTTAGTAAACCACAGGGCCGCTCTGTTCAACCGTCTCTAAATGCCACAGAGCTGAAGCCACTGGTGCATCACAGAGGATGATGATGAGTTAAAACAGGGCAGCAGCACAACAGCTGACTACAAACAGGGTGGGAAATTATCACCGTTATTTAATTGTTTATAATGAGGGACTTTTGTCATGCAGTAACATTTAAAATGTTAAATATTTTAAAGTTTTTTCTGCACGACGTTTACTTATTTATGTTCTAACGTGGTTATATTTTGTCTAACACTTAGATGTATTTTGGCTAAGCTATTAATTTAGTTTTTAAATTTTTGGTTACCTCTTTTACGCTGCGCTAATGATCATTTGTCATTTTCATTTTTTTAAGGTTTTTTATTTTTTCAAATTTTTTATTGTCTACCTCAGAGTCAAGGAGCAGCTGGCTTGTAGCGTTTTCATTTCTTTTTTTTTCCTCATCTTTTATTTAAACTTTTTGTTACTGTTTACTCTGCTTATTTTCAATTAGGGAAAGTTTAGAAGTCCATAGCTAATAATTATAGTTTTGGCAAATTTAGTCTCTTGTTTATCAGTTAGTAAACTTGCACTGACTTTTAAGTATTGGTGAGGTCATTTATTAGACTTCTCACCAACTACATTTTAGTAAATTAGCTCTAAATTATTTTTTGTTTTATTTGCTACAGTTTCCTTGAATGCAAAATAATACTTCTCAAAAATCACCCAGGAAAAGCTGATTTAATATGATTAAATAAATAATAAATACTTATATATACTTATAGAAATTTGCTTTTTTCCCTTGCTTTTACTTTTTACCTTCCATAGTTACTGTTGTCTCTACAGACACAACACTCTTGTTGGATTAGGCACAACCTTAATAAAAAGAAATATATATTAAATCCCCCTCCCCTTTTCACTATAATTTTGTCCAAATATTTTTCTTTTACTCTTTTAGCACAGGTTTATTTTTTTATTTGTTGACATTGAAGTCAGACCCAATGATAACTTCATAATGTTCCATTCAAATATCCTTAGTCAGTTTTAAACACAAATCTCTCGGAGGTGGACACATCATTGCCATCTCTGTGCAACAAACCAATTTTCCCAGACAGGCAGTTAAAAACAAATACAGAATAGATGGACAGACAGAAGTGATGGTTCTGCTCTCATCCACTTTGAATCAGCCAGGCCTCTTCTTTCACTTTCCTGCCAAGTTTGAATAGACCGTCCCAAAAACCCAATAACCATAAGAGAGTGAAATTGTCCTGTCATCATTCTCCCGCTTCCCTCCCCTCTCTCTTTGCCCCTTTTCTCTCCCTCCCATGCCTCCCCCATGCTTGTGCTGTCAGAAAAACAACACAAAGCAATAAGCAGGCAAATAGCTGTAATCTTTCAGTCAATGATGCACAATCACCCATTCAGCACGCTGCAGACCTGGCATCAACCTGGCAGCCTTATCAGTCTCAGGCGGGGTGAACGATTAAGACTCCGCGGCATCTAACAGATGGTGAGTGACGGTGCTCATAAACCTCACACTAAAAGACTAATGTCCTACAAGCTGCAGTCAGTGTGGCTGCTATAAACAACCCTGCTGCCAACTGTCAGCGCTGCGGTAGCAGAGTGGCCCAGCTGCTTCCTCGCTCAGCTCAGTTTGATATGCAGGGGTTTTTCTGAGCCGAGCATTGAGCTGTGATGAGGTCATGGAGAGACACCCTGCTCTCAGCTGTCTATTCCAAAAGCTTAATGGTGACAGAATGCTTCATGTCTTTCCAGGGAAACGGAGGGAAAACGGGGGAGTTTAGCCGTGTTTGTCACAACGTCCCTTTTAAAATCCGTGCTTCATCTGCACTTCACAAGTTGTCCTTTATAGTATTTCAACAGAGTGGCAGAGAAAACTGTGTTATATTGAGGAGGAACACCCAATACATTTGTAGTGATTAAAGTTTTAACTACAATAATACTTGGTACTTTAGCTTAACGTAGACAGAGTGTAATTGTAGTTCCTCCACTAAAAAATGTCCCATAAACACTGATGATTTTCCTCCAAATACAGTAGACCTCAGATTTTGGAGTTCCACAGGGCTCCGTCCTAGGTCCATGACGCAGTTCATTTTGAAATGTTTAGAACTTCTCCCCATTACGACTACGTAATGGGTCAATAACTATGTCCCTATTCGGAAAGAAAAAGTTTTGAATGTGACTCAAAAGTCCTTTTGTCTTTTATGGTAGACTTGCAGCGTCAGACAGTTTCTCTGCAGTCACACTTTAAAAAAGTTAATACATTCTCTTATCTCCTTTAAGCTAAACTATTGTAAGACTCTGGAACATTCTGCCTGAGGGTCTGACTGTCTCCGAATGTCTTATCTATTTTATTTCATTTTATATTGCTTCTTAAGCTGATGGCTGGTTTTCCTCATCTCATCCGTCTGTTAATTTAACTTTTATTTTATTTTCCTCGTTACGGTCATCTCCGTTTTATGGCTAGCAATTCGTGCTTTTCTTTGTTAGGTTACATAAACTTTATAATGGTTTACAGATGCACCTGTTCACACATTGCCTCGCTGTGGTGTATATTTAGAACTGAATTAAAAATCACACATTTTATTTTCATTACTCATTATTCATCTTCAACTGCCTCATCCTGATCAGCAGTCAACAGGCGAAGGCAGTCTACAGCCACGTACAGAGACAAACAACTCTCACAATCAAACCTATTGACAATGAACAATGAAACTCATCCTGAATGTTCTTGGACTGTGGAAGCAGAAAATCCCAGTCACACACTGGAGAACATGCCAACACCAGTACTAGAACCAGCGATGTCCATCGCTCCCAAGAACCGTACCGTGGCACACTAGTGTGCCGTGAGATATCATTAGGTTTGCAGTGAAAAAAATGATCTTTTATCCTTAATTGGGCTGAAACTGTTATTTATTTATTGTATATACTTTATAATAATCAAAGATAATCAGAGCTGTTGAAGGTCCTTGTGAATGTCTTTAATTCCTGCCAGTATATCAGCATTATCTTCAACTAAACAGGCTGAGATTTTAGTCAATTACAAAACTAGAAGCTTATTTTATATTCTAACTTGACTAAAACGCAAGCTTTTCAATCTTACAATCGCTAAGTTGTATACTCCTTCTCCATCGGCCATCTTTACTAATAAGAGGCAGGACATCGTCTGCTTTTCTTTATGTAGATGTATTGATTTAAATCTACAATTTGACATTTCTTTCTAAATGAATTTCAAATCCGGCCGTCTTTCTGGCTGATGAGACTGCTACTGGTTTGTTTGTGCAACATGCGTAGCAGCTCAACTCCAGTCTGACAGATGGAGGCCAATTAGAGTCTGAGGCTGCTCATCAGAGAACCTGGCTGAGCCCAGCGTGTGAGTGTGTGTGTCTTTGTTTGTGGAATATGTTAGTCCAGCAGTTGTACTGTACCTGTTCATGTATGATGCTGTTTATCAGTATGAGCAGCTTTTTGAACAAACGTTGGTTTTTGTTTAGGTAATTTATAATCTAATATATTATTTTAATTTCAACCCTTAACATTCTTTAAAATGTGTTTGGCTAATTACTTTAATTATTTTTTCTCACTGTGATGTTTGCTACTTTTTTTAGCTTTCCTTAATATACTTTTTTTGCTGCTGTTAATTTAAACCCCTGGGACTCAGTATTAATTATACTTTAGTTTAATATGAACATATTTGCTAACCTTTATTTCATTATCTTCATTTACAATATAATTAAAGTTGCTACAAATGAGTCAATTGCTGATATAAATGGACTTGTAATAATCAACTGTCTGTTTTGTCTATTTTAGTTTTTAGCCTTTTTCTCTGTTTTTCTTTTAGCCAATTTATCTTCGTAATTTTCACCAACCTTAGGATAATATTTTATACGTACCTTAAATTGCTAACAAATAGTGATTTAGGTCACATTTTGCCTATAGATGGTCTTACTTTATCAGCAGTACCACAGTTTTTGATGAACTGAATTGTTAATGTGAATTTGTGTGGAAAAGCCCTGCTGGACATTTTCTATGCAGATATTAGAAAAAGGATTTAAGCTCCTATTGTGAGAATTTCAAAGGCAATATCCAGTGTTTCAGTGGCATTTACCCCACGTGTGTGTGTGTGTGTGTGTGTGCGGTATGTGGTCGTCTGAGGTTGTAGCCAGGTCAGAGTGTGTTATCTGTCCACCTCCTTTGTTGTCTCCCTCGGGTCAGAGGTGAGACAGGAGGTCTAACCAGTCTCTAACCTGATGTGACGATTTGTTTTTCAGACACAGTAATGAACGGAGAGCACAGGGTTGGGACGGACAAGAGAGGAAGCTCCTCACTTAAAAGGTGAGTTTTAATTTTATATATATACATACACACATACAGTATATATGTGTATATACTGTATATATAAAGTATATATGATATATATAGTGTATATATAAAGTATATATGATATATATATTGTGTATATATATTAATATATGCAAACATATATGTGTGTCTGTAAACGCATATATAGTAAGACACTTCCCAACATGCTCCCTGTTGTGCTGAAACACAGTGCATGCTGGGATACCTGCGGGTCTTTTCCCCTACAGAATCCATACAAATCAGTGTATAATTGACTGATGCACCAACTTCTGAGGCCCCCTGCAGGCTTCAGTTTGTACTGTTTTCACATTGATTTGGGGGTTTGTTAGAGGTGCACTCTCGCACTACACGGACGTTGGTTTTACAAGCTCCTGATTAACTTCACAACAACAGAACACATTTAGCAACGATCCAAGGAAAGGAGATGAGGCATTGATTTCTTCGGGAAGGCAGGAAAAGAAAGACAGGATTTCTTCGGAAAGGCAGGAAAAGAAAAACAGAGTGAAACAGACAGAGGGAGATAAAGAGAGAGAGACAGAGTTGTGCGGTTGCTTTGCTGAAATGTGTGTTGAGCAAATGAAAAGAGATGAATCAGCATTTGTTTTGTGGAGAAAAATAACAGCTCGATAAAGTGGTTGCAAACCTGCCATCCCTGAATCAAAACCAATTTGAAAACTTTTTCAGGAAATTATTAGTATAGGATTTTACTGTTATCAAGATTTGGCGATGTAATATAAATTTAAAGCATATTTCAGATAAGGAAAAAGTGTCAGTTATATAAAAATGAACCTCTTTACAGCTTCAGAAACAAAACTCTACATTATTATTATTATTTTTTTATTCATCCAACATCTGTAAGTCATACTGTGCTCTGGTTGGTTGGCGTCCCGTCCCCCCTCAGATGCAGTAAATGTTTGATCTATAGTGCGGGGCTGCCGGTCTGATTCCTTGACCTTGTGTTTGCCCTCGGAGCTTGTGGCAGCTCTTCCTTTACCACTGGGCGAGCTGCGACGCAAGCAAGACCAGGGTCGAACAGCCCATTAAGTTCACTTCAACAGCATCTCACGACACCGTACGACACCGTACGACACCGTACGACACCGCCACTGATTTATGACACTGCAGGCTGGTGAGTGTGAGCGTTAAATCAGAATAAATGGATGTGGCTGTGCAGTGAGTGTGAGTGGAAGATGGAACTGTACACCTCTGTGTCGACTCACCTGCTGCTACACACACAGGAAGACATGCATATGTATACACACGTATGTGTGTGTGTGTGTGTGTGAGAGAGAGAGAGAGAGAGAGAGTGGGAGAGCAGGCAGCCTGTGATGGTCACTGATGGGGAACACTATCATTAGTGTCGGAGGGAGTGAGCCGTAACTAGTGGCTATATAAATGCAAATTTTTCATTATTCCCTTGCTCTTCTTTCTGCTGCACTGGAGCCAGTGAGCTTCATCCATGCTTCCCACAATGCTCACTTCACTGTGTTCCACCACACTCCGTTATTCCTCACCTAACAGTGGATTACTACCAGCAAGTTGACTTCTCTGCTGCGTTCGCTGACCTCTGGTCCTCCCTTGTGTCTTAGTATCATAGAGAACATGAATGATGGTCACTGATTTTCCACTCTTTTGACCTTAAACGTTCTCTAAACAGACTTTGATTGTTCCATTGATTGTTCTATTGATGTTCCTTGTCGATAATAATTATTTGGTAATTATTGCCGTCATGGAAACCTTTGAGTTTTCTAAATGCATCATTAGGTCTGAAGCAGGTAATCTCAGAGCAAGCCAAAAGGCCTGGATAAAACCCAAAAATGACTTTTTCATTGTGGTACAGACATAACATCGGGTCTGTATGGCAGTGATGGTGGGTGTTAGCTGACCTCCTGTTAGCTGACCTCCTGTTAGCTGACCTCCTGTTAGCTGACCTCATGTCCTTTTGTACTGTGGTACATGCGTACAAACGCAATAGGAACAGTTCTAAAAATGCAATAAAACTGAAATTTCAAGGTTCATAAAAATCTGCCCTTTTCAGTAGAATACTTTCCAAATGAGAAAACCTGTTATGAGTTAACTCTTTTATGCTCCTGATATTATATCTCTTCTGTTAGCAGTTTCATGAGCTATATGCTAACTCACAGAGCTGCTAACTCAGCATGTATTCAGTGCCGGTCTAATGTCTGTTTTTGCTCAGATCATTACCTCTTCATTACACTATCCACAGTTTTATTCACTTCTGCTCATTATAAGCTGATATTTTTTTTCCTGACTAAAAAAGTTTTCCATTTTTTGTGTATCCTTTAGATTCAATTTAGTTTCTAACAATCTGGAGAAAATAGCCCTTTAAATGCATCCACTTTGAAAACAGCAAGTTAAGTCTGATCTGAATTGAACGTTGTAGTCGCTGGATTTCTATAATGGGAGGTTTTTTAAGCACTACACTGGGAAATTAGTCACTGGGACTGAAAATGGTCCATTTAGGGAGGTTTCGCAGCTTTTACGAATAACGAGTGGTGACCAAATAAAAAATCCACCAGCGACGGACTCATTATAACAGCGAGGAGCGTCCATTCATCTGCTGCTGCATGGCTAATACTGGAGCTAATTACATACTCAGGCCAGCAGGGGGATCTATAAATGAGCTGTTTATTGAAATCATGTGCTCACATCAGCGGAGGCCTCCTGCTGGTCCCTTGTCATTTTTTAAAAATCTTACAGACACAGCTCAGCAGGGGGCGCACAGTTAAACTAAAGCACTGAGTCAACTTTGGGTCAATTCTGTGTGTAATCGCTGATTCGTGCGCATCGTCGCTGATGATGATGAAGGATGGCAGCAGTAGGAGAGGAGATAACTCTGCCGAAAAAAAATTTGAAGGATATGGATTTGGCTCAAAAGCAGCTGTTATCACTCTGTCTCTTCTTATTTCAGTCCTCCGTGTTTCAGTTTTCCTCTGTCTGTCTGGGTTTGTCTTCTTCTGCCTTTGCTCTATGACAAAGACTTATCTTTTCTTTTGTAATGTGGCGTGCATATCTACGTCAACACTTCTGTTCCCGTTACAGTCGTCCCTCGCTGTATCGTGGTTCGGCTGTAGTGCCCTCAGTGCAACGCTAATATTTTAAATGTATTCTTGTATTGCAGGTTTTTTGGTCTATTGTGGGTTTTTGCAGTATTTAAAAATGTTATATTTTCATTATTTTTCATGATAAAATATGCATTTTCTAGCCTAAGAAGAAAAAAACAGTAAAAAAATAGTTAAAACAAATAATTAAAAGATATTTTGTAACACATACATACAAGGTATTAGTATTAGGTTTAGTATTTAATGCCCTACGATGCCTAAAGGGTTCATAAAGGGTTAATATAGATGTAAATAATATATTAACTATCTCGTCTTTACTTTGAGCGTCCCATTAGGCTACCAGGTTTGGTTTGGTACCAAATGAACCAACCAAAAGAACCCTGATGATAAATTTACTTCTTCCAGTAGGGAACAGGTGAGATCTGAACTGTTGGAGGTCATCGACACTAGCATGCATGTTGCCAAAGGAACCAGACCTCTGTAGTTTTGTTGACCCAATAACCAACACTTTCCTGCTCAGAGGCTTGGCTGGCACTGAGAGAAAGGTCTTAGCGCCATCTGCTCCCTTCTGTCTGTGAGGTTTGAAGGTTAAATAGGAACTGAAGAGTCTTAAAAGAGAGAACACTGACAGTATCTAAAAAATAAAAATGTAATTTTTATATACATAAAAATATATATATAAAAAACACAGCTTAATATACCCACACAAAGGAGGAGGGGAGGTGCAGTCCAGCAGTCAATCAATCCGTCCAAGCTGTGGGGAAAAAAACCAATACAACCCGTACAATCAACCCAGGCCATTGGTTATTAGACGGACTTAACATTGTCAATAGCAAAACCTAGAGGAATATATGTCTACTCCGATGCAAACAGGAGAAGGTTAATATGACGCATCTGAGTTTCATCAGGCTGATTTACTTTCTGTAATCCTCATCTCTTTGTTCCTCCTCAGATCCAACTGTGACATCGAGTACAGCAGATATCCTGATGACCATAAGAACAGGTATGAGAAGAAATCTGCAGGATAGGTGTGTGTATGTTACACTATATTTCTGTCTTCTTAATGCTTTATAACGTGGCTTTTGCACACTTAATGCCCAAGGAAACAAAAGGGAAAAAAATCACAGAAAAAAACCCAGACATGAAGTCATAGACTGTTGAACCATCAGTTAAAAAAAGAAAAAAGAAAGGGAAACAATGTGTGAAACACTCATCAAAAATGTAACTGAAAAACAAACTCTTAAATAGTGATATAAAAGGACAGTACTTGGCTGTAAGGAAAGGGCAGAGGAACTAATGGTGCGCTCCCCACAGACTGAGAACACAGATCACAGTAGGCAGTTGAGGACAGGTGGAGGAAAACTGAACTGCAGAGGAACAGACACAGAGGATCAGATGAAGGAGAAGTGGAGCTGATGGAGGGGACAACAGGGAGAGGGACAGAGGGAGGAAGGGGCTGACAGTATGAAAAACATTGGTAACAGGCAGCAGCTCTGAAAAACACAGCCACATGCTTTTCCACACTCCCTTCCTCCCCCTCTCTGTTCTCTCATCTGCGTCCTTCTTTTTGTCTTTTTTTTCTCAAATATTTTATTACTCATGCCTCTATTTCACACTCCAGCAGCGAAGCCTGGTTGGTTCATTCATGCAGCTATAATAACCGTCCAGTTCCTGTAGGACAGTCTGGCACCAGACTCACCAGGAAAACAAACTATAATTTATAATAATGTAATTATCGTAAAGTAGTAAAAGCTTATTTTAAGAATTTATTTTATATTTTTTTTAATTTTACTCCATTTTATTAATGATCCCAAGATTCTGATATGCGTGATGCATGAGAGCAGAAACCTCAGTGCCGTGTTTCCCAACTGTTTTTGAGCCGCGGCGCATATTTTTCATTAGATAAACCCCACCGCACACCACCAAACAAAAATCTCACTAAAAATATATGTAATGAAATATAATAATCTTCTAGTTTAAATATACTCTCAATTGACTAAAACCTCAGCCTGTTTAGTTAAAGAGAATTCTGATTTAGTGGCAGGGATTGAAGAAAGACACTCTTCTTCAACAGCTTTGATTCTCTTTTTTTTAGTTTTCATAGCCATCTGCTGCCACCTAGCGGATGAGACGAACAAAGAAACAATATTTGCAAGATATAAATAATAATTTTTAGACCAATTAAGTGAAATTGGATCATTTTCAATGGCACACCTAATGATCTCTCACGGCCCACCAGTGGGCCACGGCACAGAGGTTGGGAATTTACTGCCTTAGTGCATGACTCATGACTCAGTCAGTGTATCTGGGCTGTGACAGAAATAAGAATCTATTAACTTAAATTTGTGAGTCACACATTGTCCACTCATATATAGCATCTCCTGTTGTGCTTTATTATTTAGCTGCCAATTTCAGACAAAAAAAACTTTTTCCAAGGCTCCATTCTGCCTTTTTTGCCATCGCAGAAAACCCACATTTTATATTTCTGGAACCAATTTATTTTCACAAACTGGTAGGTTCAGAATGTGGTTCTGGACCTTGAACTGTGCCAGCCTCATGCTGATGTATAAAAAATAACTTTAACAGCTTTGTCCACTGCAGCAGCATATAGCACAGTAAGCATTGTTGAAATACAATGTGAATTTTACAATTCAATATTTTTAGGGTAATAAAAATCCAACAATAGTAATCCCCTGCACAGAAGCATCGACAGACAGATTGTCTGCGTGCAAGCACGTGTTTTATGAGTGTGTGCGGGTGTGCCAGTGTGAGACAGTGTTTATGTTTCCCCTCTCCTCCTCCAGCTGTAGATGGCTGCTGTGATAGACGGCAGAGGTTGACAGGAAGAGGAAGGTCCTCCTCATCACCTTGCTTATCATGCACTGCATCAAATTGCACTTGTCAGTCAGCAAGAACCCTCCCAACAAAACAACACAACACTGTAGTCTGCTACAAGAAAAAAACAAACATCATCTTTGAAGGCGCCATGTGGGAAAAGCAAAAGATGGAAATGTTTGAAATGTTTCGTGAAATCACATCAGTGCCAATCATTCAGTTTTCATTAAATAAATCACTCCGTCCTTCAAAAACTTTTGGTTCACCTTCAGGTGCAAACTCAAAGATGTCCCACAGCTGCTACAAGTCTTAGACCAAATCCACTTTCAGGTGACTTTCATCTGCAGCTACATTCTAATTACAGAGCTTTCATTCTCAATTAACTTCTATATTAATCATTTTATTACATTTATAAGAATAAAGCGGTGTTCTGATCTCATTTAGCAGGTTAGTCGAAAGACTCAAGAAAATGTCCTTCACGTACAGTAGGCTGGTATTGTGTGTTATGTCTTGTACACAAAGAACAAACAGACTGCCTTCCGCTCTCCTGCAGATGGTGCTATAAATGCTGATTTCATGAAACAGGCAAATTAAAAAACCTAACAAGTGCATTTTATGTTCAAATAAAAAGAGGTTTAAAGTAAGATTGACTTTTTAACTTTGAGAAAATCTTGCCCTCACCCATTCTTATTTAGCGTACTAAAGCTTTTGAGTTGTTACCGTCACCTGCATTGTGTACTTTTTGCGAAGACAGAGAAAATACAGGCAGATGATAAAGAACATTTTCTTATATGGCCACTGTTTAGGTTATGCCATTTGGTGTTTGCAGCTCTACTGTGGTAAATGTAAGGAATAGAGCAAGTGTTCAATTTGAATTTCATATTTTATCGCTAATACACGAAGTAGAAGCACTGTGGGCTGCTCCTTCCTACAAGTTCAGTCTAAAGACCAGTCAGCTCTGGAACATGTGGCACAGCGCGTCAGTCTAGAAACTGTCCAAGATGCACTAAAGTGGAACGGTGTAAAGACGTTTTGATGAGGCTAATGACTGCAAAGTTTGACGACAAATAATTTCACTTCACATTCAACTCTAACACCTGTCAAACGTCTGCCTCCTCTTCCTCCAGCTATAAAGGTTGAAGTGCCAATCAAACTAATGGAGGCAGAAGTTTAATATGAAAATAAAACTCTGCCGTGTGAATGTGACCCAATTACAGTTAACCCAAAGGCCTCAATGTTGTGGAGCTGTGTGAGGAGACTGGTCATCAATCATCACACAGTCTCTTCCATTCATCTTCCAACAGGCAGGCGTCGATGCTGCCACACCTGCTGTCTGCCCTGAAGTGTTTCTTCCTTTTGGATGATTACAACACAGATGGAATTGTCTATATTTAATCCCTGTATGCTATTTTAAATACATCCTCTGATTGTTAGGGCAATGCTTCTCAAAGTGTGGGGCGGGACCCACTAGTTGGAAACGGAAATGTGACAAATGGGACGCAACTAACGGGCAGAAATTGTCAGGGTTTAAAGCGATGATGATACAACTGCACTTTTATGGTGATAGAGCTTTTTATCTAGTCTAGGGTTAGGGTTAGAATAAAGAATAAAGCTGAACTTCCTATGTTGGCACAACCATGGAAAACCAGGGAACTGAATGCAGTTGGAAAGGAGAAATAAACGATGGTGAGGTTTGTGTTTGAAGCTGAACAAATTTCATCTTGATTTTATCTTTTAATAGAACAGGGAGATAAGGAACGACAAGACTCCGGTCCCGGGGGAAACAAACCTCAACATATAGTGTTGACAACAAACATTGACCAGCTCGATAAAAGACATGAAATTATGAGTCATTCCATAACATTAGCTAAAGAAACATCACAACATTAAAATGAAGTCATCTTATACATTAAAGATACAAAAGTATGATCTGTAAGTGGAGGCAGAAGAATAGATGCACATGTGATGTGTGAGTGTGGAGGTGTGTGGAGGTTAAAATACTCTGTGTGTGTGCTTCTAGTGTCTTCGACTACCAGCGTGTTCCCTCAGTCAGTGTGGAGCCCAGTCCAGTCAAGCGGCTTCGTCTTTCATCCTCCTCCTCCACCTCCACCTCCGCCTCTTCCTCCTCCACGGTGGCTCTAAAGATGAAGAGCATCAGAGCGTCCAGTGGGAGCAACCACACATCCGTCCAGTCCTCCAGCAGCAACCGCAGCAGTGAAGCCAAACGTAAGAAAACTCCATTTCTGATCAGAACACTGGATTAAGAAAGTAATTCTTGGAAATATAACTTTTCAGATCACAATTTAATTTTTTTTAATAAAAATAAAAACATATTACTACAATAAGTTTTATAAATAATATGATTTCTTGATGAATATAATTTCAGTGCAGTTATGTTCAAATGCGGTGAAGATTATCATGTTACATTACTGTGAACTACAACCAAATTGGACTGAAAAGCATGTGTTTAGTTTATCAAACCTGTCCACATTCCAAGCTTTACTGAAAAAAGTAACTCTGTAAAATTGTCTATGAAATCCCCCATCACACTGGAAGCATTTCCTGTTTGTGAGTTGTCTCCATCCTGCAGCCCCAGGGTACCACAGTAAAGGCGGATGGGTTTTGGAAGCCAGATGGTTTCTTCATTAAATGCTTCTGTACCACGGGGCTCTCCACCTTGCTATAAACCAGTCGAGTCTATCAGTGCAGGCAATTAGGGAGAGTTAATAGTGCGTGGCAAATAAGAATTGTTTATACTGGTTTATTACAAGCTTTAATAGGTTTACTGTGTCTCATCATGGGGAATTAGATTGTCTTTGCAAGCTTTTGAGGTCAAAAAGCTTTCAGTGGGGATGTAAATTCTTTCAGGGTCATTAATTGAGCTGTTGGTGGCGCTGGCGGTCCATTTGAGAGCACAGTCAGAGTGAGAGCTCCTGTCTCCAGGTGGGAGGGTAGCACTGAGAGTTGTTGATGGTGCAGGACCAGAGGCGGAGGATGTGTGTCGTGGTCATTGGATTTCACTTTTGCTCAGGGATATGAGGTTTTTTAGACTTTTTTTTTGTCCATTAGTAATCTGTTTTGGTGCATTTGAGTTTGTATTTTTATAACATGTACAGTTTATTTTTATACATCCCATCTGCGAACAACATATTTTTATTGCTTATGACATTTTTCTATCACAGATGGAAGGCTGTCAGCAGTGATGTTTTCGGGAACATCAGAATGATTTTGTTCCAGGCCAGGTATTTTATACATGGACCACTCCATGTTCTGGGAACAGCATAGCTCTCAGCTTGCCCCTCGGGCTAATTATGCTGAAGATGCACATTTTCCAGAAGTTGTTTGTGTGCTACAGATGTCTGGCTGAATTAATTTTACTAAAATGTTTGAAAAAGTAAAAAAATCCCTTATATGATGGTTTTAAACTCTGTTATTAAAATTTAAACAGCTTTTGTTTCTATTAATTCTGACCAATGTTCCATACACGTATGAAAGTACAAACATATCCCTGTCTGCAAACTAATGTTTGTTTAATTTAGGACAACCTTTCTGAACAATGGCACATATGTCATTAGAAGAAACCCATGGCACACCACCAAACAGAAATCAAAAAAAGTATATGTAATGAAATATAATAATCTTCTAGTTTAAATTTACTAAAAATGTACTCCTGTTCAGTTGAAGACAATGCTGATATACTGGCAGGAATTGAAGAAAGACACTCACAAAGATCTTCTTCAACAGCTCTGATACTCTTTTTTTAGTTTTCAAAGCCATCTGCTGCCCCCTAGCAGAAGAGTATTTAATTTTCTGCCTTTCATGCATTGACGAGCAAAGAAAAATTATATGCAATAAATAAATAATAGTTTTCAGCCCAATTAAGTGAAATTGGATCATTTTCCACGGCACACCTGATGATCTCTCACGGCCCACCAGTGGGCCACGGCCCAGTGGTTGGGAATCACTGACTTAGGAGATGAGCACAGGATTCAACAGTTGGACTCTGGGTCAATGGTACATTAAACCATTTGCTGTCTCTCTTTCAGTGAAGATGGCTGAGCTTCTTGCCATAAAGAGGGACTTGATGGTGATCAAGGTACAGGTTGATGAACTGTTGGACTGTGTGGACAAGATGGACAGACAGAGAAAGGACTGCTCAGGTGAAGACGCTAAAGAAGGAAATAATAATAATAATAATAATATTTTTTCATCAGTTATTTTGAGTGAGAGAGTGAATGTGTGTGTGGAGGTGTGTGTTCTGGCAGACGATTCTAACAAAGCAGACATATATTTGTCAATATAAATCAGCTGCTCTTTCAGGTCCATCACACCTGCAGTGGAGCACAAGATGGTCGTGTTCTTTTTAAAATATCTGCCCCACACATCAGTCTGCACAATGTTGGACCATCCACAGAAGGACTGGCCATTAAATGGGAGTTTATGATCTGCAGTAGGGGAATCTGACTGTGTGTGTGTGTGTGTGTGTGTGTGTGTGTGTGTGTGTGTGTGTGTGTGTGTTATCTGATCTGATCTACTCAGTATCTGTGACTAATGGTTCAATGACAAAATCTACCTCCAGTGAGGCGCGGATTATGACAGTGAGATAAACAGCGATAAACAACAGCCTTATAACCTTTGACAGGCAGTCGTCCTGTCTCCTTCAGCCGTACCTTTACAGCACACTTAAGGAGCAGCCATCACTGTCTTTCATTTTTCACCCAACTTTTTTTAAAGATTACCATTTTTATGGTCCTGGCAGACTGTCCTCGGAGCAGAGAGCCCAGTGTTTCAGACTCTCCTCACCAGGGTTCTGTCAGCAGTCTGGAGAGAGAAAGTCCTGAACCAGGAGAGGCCAGTGAGGACGAGCCCCTGTATTACCACCACTACTACCCCCAGAGGGTAAGTACATAATGATATACCAACAAGTGTTTTCCCCAGTGATGGTCAGTAACTGTTTATGATTGGGTTGGCAGTTTAAAAAAAATCTAAAATTTAGAGGAATATTCAGCTTGCATGCTAACAGCTAAACAATATAGGGTCACTGATGAGTGATGAGGATATGAAAAACTTAGTGTCCTCATTTTTTTTACTTACTATAAAACAACCAATTAAAGTTGTTCCTGGGATTAATACAAGCAACAAAGTTGCTTCAGTTAGTTGTTTTAGGTAAAACATTTCTGCTTCAAACTCGGTCAATTTAAGGTTGTGTTTTGTTACCTAATTCTGAGGCCGAGTTTCCCATTCACCATAGTTAAATATCCTTTATGCAGGCTGTAGAACGGTAAGAGCTAATGTGAGTCTGCCCTCTAGTGGAATCTACGTTATCTGCACCAATTACTCACAATTATATTTTTTATTTTATATTATTTTCCCCCAATTGTCTAATTGTGTTTTTTGATTAGAGCTATGAATTTGTTATTGTTTTTTTAAAGTACGTCTTACTATTTTTTTTTATTTCAGTAATGTTTTATATGTTTCACCTGATTGATAGTCCAAATGTTACATCCCACTTTTGCTACCTAAATACACAAAACACAACATAATTAAACACAAAGAAAAAAATAAGAAAAAGAAAATTATGGCAGGCAGATTAAACATTAAACATCATAGATACCTTAAAATAGATCCGTAGATATTTTTATTCAGCAACTCAGTTGCTGTAACCAGCAGCATGGAGCAATGGTGCTTTCGGTGTCTCCTTTTCTTTACAGGGGAACAATAATGATATAGAATTACTACCTGCCTGGCAGAGCAAAGCTGTCTCCTGAATCAGAGCGGTGGCAGGGATGAGACTAAACCCTAATCTGCTGCATTGTTCAACTTACGGGAGCTCAGGAGGATTCTGTGTTTTTATACTCTTCAGCCTGGTGATTCTAGGGGTTGTACTGTAGTAGTGTCATTAAAATAAGCTTTTTTAATTTGTTTCCAGATAAAACAGCATCACTCTGATATAGAAGACAACCTGTGATACGACGGCTCAGGTATGTATGCGCATCACAATTCTAAACGGATATTAAAGAAGAATTACAGCCAACTTTGACCTGAAGTTCTGTTGTTAGACATTTGTCAGTACTGTATGCTAAATAATTAAGATAGTAAATATTTTAATTAGAAACATGTGTAACTGTTATAACTGTGCTTTAAAAAAACAAAACAAAACAAAAAAACAATTAAAATATTTTTTTTCCTGAAGGGATTAATAAAGTGTGGCATTTAATCTTGATGACCTCTTTATATATTTGTACAAACAGTTTTGGTTTAATGTTTTAGAGCTCTATAAAAAAAGTCATCTTATATAATTGTTTATTTCACAGAAACAGAAGTTTGGATTGTGGAACTGGAGACATTATCAAGGATAAGTACAGACCAGGCCCATTTAACTGTCTTTAACTTGTTTTATTTACTGTAAAGAACAATTTACATTTTGATTTTGCTTTTTGGGCAGTTACTGGCATCAAATGTACTTTTTATACATTATCTTTAAAAAATCCTTTGTCAGGATTGTCTGATGTTTTTAGTCTTGATCCAGACAGTAATGAGTTTCAGATACTTCTGAGTAGTTTAAAATAAAGAAGGCATATTGGCAATATTTACTCTCATAAAACTGTGATATGAAATTATAAGTTACTGACTTTAAAAATCTACTTCAGCAGTGAAAAAGGTCACAGGTCACAACTCTACATTTAATGCATTCCACTGTAGGACTGATGTTACAAAGTTCTAAAGAGAAGTGTTACATGTTACTGTAGACTAAAGCTCATTTAAAAAAGAAATCACAGCATTTCTTATATATTAATTAAGATTGAATGTCTGCTGTACTGTATATTTCACGGAAGGATATTAGTTGTATGAATCACAGCTGAATTATTGTATAACTACATATTTATCATTTTAAATTGCTTGTAATGTTTATTCATCCTGTTGGGCTGTAAAAGTTCAAGTTAAGCAGGGGACATTATAAAACTAGTTTAAGAGCCATTACCAGGCCACGGGCCAGAACTTGGACACACCTGGTGGTGTATATGTTATATTGTATACTAAGTTACTGTTGTAGACATTATTTTTTGAGCAGTATTATGCACCAGAATGATTATCATAGGCCCTGAAAACAGATTTACTGGACCCTTTAAAATAGTTCCCCGCTCCCATCTTCATCATGTTGAGTCGGTGTGGCAGCAGCTGGCAGCTTGTTATCACACTTTATTTTCATTAAGCCTATGGTCACAATAGGAAATGAGCTGTGAATGGGGCTGAAATGAGCACAAGATTCATCTTCTTTACGGCCAACTCGCTCAGGAAATCACTCCTAAAATAATGGTTTCCTGAGATCACAATAATTTACACACAATAATGATTCACAATAATACAAATATACATTTGTTGTCCCTACACTAACAGTTAAATGTCCTTTTTTTTAAACCAAATCACCCCCCGTAATCATATATGTTTATATACATATATACAGTTACACACACAAATATGTTCAATACATCCAATATATATTTTAAGAAAAATGTCTTCATCACCACAGACATTGTATGACTGATTAAATAGCTACAAAGTTCCAGTCATGATTTCTCATCGGCCGTGTGAACAACAGGGACAATGGTGTCTTACAAAATATGTTCAGATTGTACTTGTAAAATATAAGTTGTTTTTTTTTTTGTTGACACTTTTATCTGTACAATAGATGCTCTTTATATTAAACTGTTATTTAAGGTTAAAAGGTTAAAAGGGTGAATCAAGTGGAAGGAGATCAGATTTATATGACGTTGTTCTCCTGAATAATTTTGGGAAATACTTTGTTTGGCTTCAGCTGTTGTTGCTTTTGTGTTTGTTCTCAGTGCACGGTGTACTGTCTTTTATTGTGCGTGCAATAAAGGTATTTTTAAATATATAAGTATTTTTAAATATATTGATATCTTACAATTAAAAATAAAGGAAGGATACGGTCAAGTCAGAAATATTTATAGCTGCATAATTCAATGAGTGAACTTTGAATAACTGATTTTCTAATTAGGCTGGTATTTCTCAGTGAATATGTTATCAGTAAGTTAGTCACATGCTCTTTAATCAAAACCTAAATGCCTTCTCAGCAGCTTTTAATCATTCATTCCACCCTTTGAGAACCTTTGTAAGTGCAGGTCTGTTAACACATTAGCCTGAGTGGAGAAGGGAATGCAGTGGCTGCAGCTCAGTGAAGTGACAAGAGCGAGGTAAGAATTCTGCACTGAGTGAATGTTCTGAAGGGGGTGTCATTTTTTCTGGGTCTACTATACAAGCCTTTGACGTCTCTGTCTTTCTATTTACTCCAAGCTTTTATCCCTGTTTTATCCAAATGACTTCAGCAACTTCAACAACTTTACAGTAGTATTTCTGGTTGTGATTACTTTGTAATTGAAGCATTTATATATGACATTTTCCCCTCATGTCATCTTAAGCTCTAACAACAGTAGATAACAGGTTTGTGGTTGAACAGTTGAAGTAGGAACAACAGAGCTGAGTCCTGACCTTTGTTGTTGTTACCCATTGCTTTAATCTGCTTGTCAACCATTGATTTTCTTCAGTGAGAAAAGCAAATATATTCAACAATAGCCTGTTACAACTTGGTGTACTAAACAGACGTTAATGTGGATACTAAGATAACATTTTTTGTCTAATATTACAAGGGATTCATTTATTAACATTAAATTTAGTATTTGGAATTTAGTTCCTGTTTTTCCTTATGGTCCTAATTTTAGGCAGAGAGACACCGGTGGATTACACAGTTAGGACTAACAGATCTTTACAACTGTCCAGCTGACGATGGCAGCAGCAGCAACAGCATCAGGGTCCAGCCCACTCTCCATACATGTGCTGAACACAGGAGGTGGAATTCCAGCAATCAAGATGGACGTGAGTCTGCATCGACTCAGCTCTGAACTGATTATCTGGAACATGCTGGGTGTAGGGTAAGTTTTGGAAGTGTTTTTTTCTTCTTTTTAGACATTTTAAATATGGACTAAATATAAATCTAAAATATACTTTTTCAACCTGTAACAAGTAACCTGTTTGGTGCCTCTTTAGATTAACAGATGAAAATGGTTGCTGCTTAGGAATGATCAACCGAGAAGATTTCACCCCAGGCATGTACAAGGTGCGCTTTGAGACTAGTTCATACTGGGAAAGTCTGTGCCTGACCTCCATCCACCCGTACATCGAGGTGAGCATTGCTCCAAAATGCGAATAAGAAAAAAAGACTTATGGATTTATATAGATGGTTTGTTTAGGTTGAGAAATAGATCATTAAATTAGATTATCTATAAGTGATAAATTCTTTGATGATGATAATGGATGGTGATAAGTACTTCTTAACAAATGTCATTTTTGTCTGTCGACAGCATAGCCATCAAATCTTTAGCGCCTAACAATTTAATTAATAAGTTGTCACATTTCTAAAATAAACATTAAATGTGTATATTTGTGTTTTTAGGTTGTTTTCACCATCAGACGCCCTGAACAGAGGTTACACTTGAATCTGCTCATAAGCGGGACTTCTTACTATACCTACATTGAAAGCTGAGGTCATGAATCTGAATAAACAATATTAATATAACAGCACAGGATGTTTATATTTTAATTTCAGCCAAACACCATCAGAGGGCCTATGTTGATGCCTGAGAAAAAACTGGAAACTAACTTAGGCAAATCAACACATGTCGATTTTATAGCTGTGTCACACACAGTTATTTAGTGCCAAAATCAGAATTTTTTCAATTTAATTATTCCATCATTTAATCTTATAAATCTGCTCTTCTGATTTGTAATTGAGTGAAAAAGTGGAAATATAAGAGACCCACTCTTCAAAATATGTGAAAATAGTAGTTATCCTGCAGCTGGTGGGCAGTCAAAAACAGGACCTTGCAGTACTCCTGGAAAATTTCTGATGCCATATTACGACAGTTGAAAAGCTCGAGGTATAGTCTGGAGTTGGTGTACTTCTTTTCAATGCCCATACAAAATATATTGCCTCTATATAGCTATACAGGTTCAGAACTATCCTGTTTCTTTAAAAATCTGAACTTTCCAGGTTTCTATGGATCGTGGTTGAGGACAAAAAGCATACATGGTAAAACGGAGAACTACCATTACGTCCCTATAAATCCCTGAACATAAAATGGTAATATTAAAATGTTCTGTGTATTTAAATTTGTCTCATGGACAATAGTTTTTTACAGATAGTGTATTCGCCTTTTAATAAACGGAACGATTTTATTATTATGCATTATAACTCTCAAGCAAATTTGTGTCTCACCAATTTCAGACAGGCACATTTAGAGACAGCCCTAGACCTTTACATCACCATCGTGTGGTCCTTACGTTGACATTTCACGCAGTTAGTTAGCACAAGGTTTCTCGGTGTACTGTACGCGGAGTACTCTGGAAAAAGTCAAATAATAAGTTGCCATTTTAGAGATTGCACAGACCGCTGAGAGAGGATGTCTCAGGTACTGAGGCTCCTCTCGGTAGCTACTCAGCGTCTGTGTCGAGCAGAAGTGGTCCGGTTCTCAGCTTTCAAGAGACTGTGTTCCACATCCAAGTACCGGAGCTCTGCTACCACGGTGAGTAAAGTAGATGTAGATGTTAAGTTAAAAATGTCTTCTATTTGTTATTAGGTGCTTACATTACTATATAAACGTCCTGTGGCTAGAAGTTGTATCGGAGTGGAAATTAATGACTAAAATACTTGTCAAGTAATTACAATTTCAAACTTGGTTATGCAATCGTATAATCCTACATTTTAGTTGCATTGTTTTAATATAATAATTAAGTTGTTTGCGGTCGCTTTCTTTGTTACAAAACGCATTCAACATGCCGCTGTTTATGCAAGTCACGGCTCGGTGTTGTAATCTTTCACGACACGAAGTCCTTATCGCTTTATCACCGTAAACAGAAAGATGTTTTGATTTCGTGTCAAGTCAGAAGGGCTGTACATTCTAAAGTCGGTGCATTAAAAAAAAAATATAGCACGAGTCTTTTATACGACTAAAAGTTGGGGTTTTCAAACACAATTACAGTTTTTGAAAGAAATTGCTGCCAGTTTTGCTTTCTGTATCTCATTGTATACGTATTAATGTATCTTCGTGTGGTAAATTATTTAAAAAAACTTGTTCTGTTCATCTAGTATGGTGCATTTGTTTAAACAATAAGTACTGCTGTTTGAGGCGACATCCTTTAACAACGTAAGATTCAAGGTAGATCCAGTTGTTTTACTTGACCTACGTGTTTCCAGACACAGATTAACATTTGCATCTGATGTCAATGTTGCAATCACCAAATACTCAAAAGTATTTTGTCAACACTTGCCGTGATTAATGAATCATTTAATCAGAAATATAAGAATTTTGTGTTTGTAGAATTGAGTGTTTATCATGATTTTAGTCCAGTTTTCAGAGTTCCCATGGTGACATTACTACAATAAACAAAAGCATACTGTAGACCTAATGTCTTTGTGAGTCGACAAAGATTTATTTGTTTTTAAAAAGCACACATACACTTGCGCCAAACTGCATCCAGACTAAAAGTAAACAAACACAATGTCACTGAGTTTGTTTGTTGACCTTTAGTTGTAGGTTCAGCAAAGCTGAGGTAATTCTAACCATTTCTCCTAAATGTGAATTACTCTCTTAGTCACTGAGTCAAAGGAAGCTTCTGAGACCCTTATTTATTTATTTTTTTAAACTGACTTTCACAAAGAGTTTGTTTATGTGTGAGCTGTAATTTTAAAGCAGTCAGGGTCAATGAGTCAGCCAAGGTTGGATTTGGTAAATCAGCAGGGATTATCTGGTTCCCAAGTTTTTTGCTGAGTCAAAGTACAGTATTCTTAAATTTTGAATAAATATTTACATTGCTATGCTTCTAGAATTCATAGCAAAATCTGACTCACACTGCAACAAGACTATAGGTTCCTGTGTAAAACAATATAATAAACCATATTTATAAGACTTTTGAAATGTTTTGCAGAATTTTTCTACAACAAAACTCCTGTTGAATCACAGGTTCCGCTTTGCTCAGCGGCGACTTTACTCCACAGAACCCAAAGGTGAGGAAGTGAAAAGAATGCGTTACAGCTGCATGTATTTTAGAAACAATAATTGTAAGCTGTCAGATGGTTTTGCTTCAGTTTTTATGTGAGATGTGTAAAATAAGTTTTCTTTCTCAGATGGAGGAGGAAAGAAAGGCGGTGGTGCAGGAAAAGACTGGTGGAGCCGAATGCAGAAGGTTAGTGAAGCCCAATGTGTCGCTGTTAAAAGCAGAGAGGTTTTGCAATGCTCACACCTGTTTATCTACTGCTGTTCAGGGAGATGTTCCCTGGGATGATAGGGATTTCCGTTACATGGCCATCACTGTGGCTGGAGTCGGTTCAACTCTGCTCTACTTCTACTTCAGAGACAGGGGCAGAGAGATCACCTGGAAGGACTTTGTTCACCGGTACCTGAGCCGAGGCCTGGTGAGAAGCAAACTGAGATATTTATCAGCTCAGGCAGGTTGTTTCATTTTTCTCTCTCTACATATTCTTTTTATTTATTTTTCTTGCAGGTGGATCGGTTAGAGGTCATTAACAAACAATATGTTAAGGTCAATCTGGTACCAGGAACTGAGGTTGAAAAGGTGAGCAGAGACAATCAGAACTTTTGGAACATTTGTTGTTTAGTAAGATAGGTTAGAAGTTTTTGTATTTGTCTGAAAAGTGTATTATCAAGTCAAGTCAACTTTAAATCATCTTTAAGCGATGTGTTTGTATTAGTATAAATGTACTATAAAAGTATTATTGTATTGTCAAAACTTTAAGTACAATTATACATAACCTTTAATAATTGTCGCCACCTCCTCTGGTCTCTCATTAATATGTCTCTCTAACTACATATTAATGAAATTGCTATTTGTGTCAAATACATATTTCAAAAAGTATCATCTTGTCAGCTATCACTTGTGGCCTTGTACAGTATCGATAACCACAAATCAATGTTGAATCCTGTACACAGGGCTACCTTTGGTTTAACATTGGTAGTGTCGACACCTTCGAGAGAAACCTGGAGGCGGCTCACATGGAGCTGGAGTTACCGCCATCAGAACAGACTACGGTTATCTACAGCACAGAGAGTGATGGGTGAGCATAACACAACAATGTGTATGTAGTGCCTGGGTTAGTTTGATAACATTTCTGTTAGATCACTGCATGTAATGTGAAAGAAAAGGACTCCAAAGATTTTATTTTTGTCTTTTTTTCCCCACAGCTCTTTTCTTACCAGCTTTCTCCCTCCTCTGCTGCTAATTGGTTTCATACTATTTAACATGCGGCGAGGACCAATGGGTGGAGGCACCAGGGGTGGGAGGGCTGGGCCCTTTAACATGGGGGAGTCTAGAGCAAAAATGATAAAGGACAACATCGATGTGAAGTTTAAAGATGTCGCCGGCTGTGAGGAGGCCAAAGTGGAGATCCTGGAGTTTGTCAACTTCCTGAAGAACCCAAAGCAGTACAAGGACCTCGGGGCCAAAATACCCAAGGTACTGAACACCATTCCACCTGAGGTTCAAGTTCTTATTGTTGGCAAAATTACCAACCATTTAAAAGGATTCCTACCAGCTTTTCACTGTTTTTGTTGTTTAACACGAGTGTCTACATATTGTACATAGAAGCCACATTTGATTCTGTAGAAGCACCTGTGGGATCAACAGTTTTTGTTTTAAAACAATGCCATACAGTAACATTATGTTTTTAATGTTCATTTTTTGTAACTATAGAAGTAATTACAAACACACCCTGCACATTTGGATAGAATCTGTTACCACTTGAAGCTTATCAAACATTAAGTAAAACTTAACCTGTGTGCAATATCCCAGGGTGCAGTGCTGTCAGGACCTCCTGGAACAGGAAAAACACTGCTGGCCAAAGCCACCGCAGGTGAAGCCAACGTTCCCTTTATCACTGTCAACGGCTCTGAGTTCCTGGAGATGTTTGTTGGTGTAGGTCCAGCCAGGGTGAGTCTTAAAAATCAAACCATTGTATTTGTGAATTCACCAGATATTTCAAGTGATGGCTGAAAGATGAACTGATGGCTTTCTCCTTTGAAGGTAAGAGACATGTTTGATATGGCGAGAAAGAATGCTCCCTGTATCCTCTTCATCGACGAGATTGATGCTGTAGGGAAGAAGAGAGGAGGTAACATGGATGGTCAGAGTGAGCAGGAGAACACACTCAACCAGCTGCTGGTGGAGATGGATGGTAGGCTGAAGACCAGAAGCCGTCTGATTCTTCTAGCTTCTTACCTTTGAGCCTGATGTGATAGTAAAGTTCTTTAATTTTGTGTGTTTGCAGGGTTTAACACATCGACTAATGTGGTGGTCCTGGCTGGAACCAACAGACCTGACATCCTGGATCCTGCTCTAATGAGACCCGGACGCTTTGACAGGCAGATCTACATTGGTAAGAGTTCAACAGACTTCATCATGTTCTCATCCAATACCTGCCCCAAAAAAAAAAAAAACCAAACCACAATATAATTGAACTGGATCTTTATGAACATGTCATGTCTCCTTCAGGTCCTCCTGACATCAAGGGCAGGGCGTCTATCTTTAAAGTCCACCTTCGACCAATCAAAGTCGACCCAGACCTGGACAAAGACATTGTGGCTAGAAGGATGGCTGCTGCTACGCCAGGATTCACCGGTCTGTAGTACTAATGTGTTTTTCAAATATATATAAAGTGTTAGTCCTATTATGTAGAAATGGAACTGGAAAAATAATTATGTTTATTACTTGTTTGTGTTAAAATAACTATTTAAATAGTTTGTTGCTCCATTTGTCTCAATCAGGGGCGGATATCGCAAACGTCTGCAACGAAGCAGCTCTGATTGCGGCTCGGTACCTGCATCCATGTGTCAACAATAAGCATTTTGAACAGGCCATCGACCGGGTCATTGGAGGTCAGTGTCATGTGACCAAATCTTTTCATAGTTTGATCATGTATAAATTTGATTTTTCATATTGCTGGTACATTGTCTTTGTCTAAGTGAGGGTGTTTGTGTCTTTCCAGGTCTGGAGAAGAGGACTCAGGTCCTTCAGCCCACAGAGAAGAAGATCGTAGCCTACCATGAAGCCGGCCATGCTGTTGTAGGCTGGTTCCTGCAGCACGCAGACCCACTGCTGAAGGTACAACTCATTTATACTCAAACCTCACCAGCTGTCAGTGGCTGTTGTCTTAGATGTACCCTGAATTAGTAGTTCTAACACTTTGAAACACGTAATAACAATATATTCTTTTGAAAATGATCTGATTTTCCACCGTCATTATTTTATTCCTTTATTTGGAATAAAGACGATTGTCAGTAAGGTGTTTACCGCCCCCCGGCGGTCCAGAAGGGTACTGCAGGGAGGTCAGAACATATATATACGGTCTTATAAATTATATATTTTAGATAAAAACAGCTAAGTGGACAGTGACATATATTAAGTGTAGCTCATGTCATACATTTTAAAATGTTCATGATCTTAGTGCAGTAGTTCAAAAATATCAATTCTACAATACATTTAATGCATGAAGATAATACAATCACCAAGTTGATATTTGCATTGTATCTGTTTTTATTATGAAACAAAATTTTATGCTGCTAATGTAAGACAGGGTCCTGCTCCACTTTGAGGTCCTTGGTTTAGACATGTTGAAGGCCCTACTGTAGAGAAAAAAAAAAGTAATTTTAAATGCATATTGTTGTTGGTGTTCAGGTGTCAATCATCCCCCGTGGTAAGGGTCTGGGTTACGCTCAGTATCTGCCCAAGGAGCAGTATCTGTACAGCAGGGAGCAGCTGTTCGACAGAATGTGCATGATGCTGGGAGGTCGTGTGGCCGAGCAGGTCTTCTTCAGTCAGATCACGACTGGAGCGCACGATGACCTCAAGAAGGTCACTCAATCGGCCTACGCTCAGGTACAGAGATACACACACCCTCTCAAAGCTCCCACACACCGCCCACATAACCACCCATCACACTTCCTCCTTACATCTTCTTGTGGTACTTTCCCCCACTAGGTGGTTCAGTTTGGTATGAGTGAGAAGGTGGGACAGGTGTCGTTCGATATGCCCAGGCAGGGGGAGATGATTATGGAGAAACCGTACAGCGAGGCGACGGCTGAGCTGATCGACAGTGAGGTCAGAGAACTGGTGGACCGAGCGTATGAGAGGACCATGCAGCTCATCCAGGACAAGAAGGACCTGGTGGAGATGGTAAGACTCAGATACACATATGTAAATGACAAACTGAATAATAAATAAAAGAAATACCGCATTTAACGCTGGTTTTATTCTCAGGTGGGGAAGCGTCTCTTGGAGATGGAAGTTCTGCACAAATCAGACATGATAGAGTTGCTCGGCCCACGTCCCTTTGAGGAGAAGTCAACATATGAGGAGTTTGTGGAGGGAACAGGGAGCTTTGAGGAGGACACTAGCCTCCCAGAAGGACTCAGAGACTGGAATCAGGACAAAGAACCTGAAGCCGAGGAGAGAAACCATGCTCAACAGGCAGTGTAGAAAAGACTTCTATCGGATAAGAAAAAAAAAAAAACTCTCTCGGACTCCTACTGATTGATGTGAAATATTTGCCTTTCTGACCAAAACCATCAGTAAGGAACATGTGAAGCAGATTTCAATTTTCATGGATTTTTTAATTTATTTTATAAAAGGTAGTTTGACTTTGAGAAAGGATATTGAGAGGAGCATAGAAACCCTTCTCTTTGAGTTGCTATGCTTGCATTTGAACTTTAAACATTTAGCAAACATGATAAATTATTTTTTGTTAAATGCTGCTGTGGAACACTTCATGGTGCAGTGATAGAATTCCATTGATTTAATTTAATACAATCTGGATGCTGTCTAAGTATGTTTAAATGACTGAAGCTTTTGTTTCTGCCAAGGTAAAGTTTTGGAAGTTTCAGAATGCTAGCTGAGGGCCATATTGAGACCTGCAGAATCATGTAGCAATTTTAAAAAAAACATTCTTTGCATATCTTTGGCTTCCTCAGGTTAGCTTCAAAAATCAACTGAACCCTGTGTAGAGCCAGTGATACCTGTTTATGCAAAGAAGTTGGATTGCAAGACAATTCTTGGAGGTCAATTCACTGTTAATAATAATAAGCAACAAAATGTACTGTATGTTTGGGAATTTGAGAATCTCCAGTCATATGTTCAAACTGGGCATCCTATTCTAGAAAAGATGCTAATAAAACAACTTTTGTAACATCAATTTTTTTCAGTTGGCACCTTATTTATAGTTAATTTTTCTTGGTAGAGTATATTCATGAATATTCTCAGTCATCCAAGTCATCATAATAATCTCAAAAGCAGTTTAGACCCTTGTAATGTCCTTCAGGTGTAGGTGACCCCCAGGATACCTAGTCCCAATATGTCTTTGTGTCTGTGTGTGAGTGCGTGAGTATGTGTGCGTGTGCATGTTACTGTACTGCATGACTTGTGCCAACTTTTACTCATATTCATTAATACTCATATTCTGGGACAAGATTAAAATCATGGCAAGGACAAATGGTGTGTACAAAAATGCGAAGGACCGCACAAGGGTTAAAGTAGGCAACTGGACTGACCTCAGAAGACGTTTCTCCTCTCATCCAAGAGGCTTCATCAGTTCTAGTTTTCTGGGCCCGAACAATATGACCTTCAAGTGGTCATGTGAGTCATCGTCTCTATGGTGAATCGTCCCACCTCCCTGTCCTCTGGGTGGGGGTTGTTGGAGTCACTTGAATGGAGGTGTGAATTATGGCTGCACTTCCTGGGGAGAGAACGAAAGACAGCATTGTAGGTGGGTGATGGTCTTTCTAGTTTGACATGGACGGCTTCCTTTACCCCTCTCTCAAACCATCTGTCCTCTCTTTCTAGAATGCACACGTTTTGATCATCAAAGGAGATGCCCCTTCTCCTTCAGGTGGAGATGGATTGCTGAGTCCAATGTACAGGTCAGTTCACATTCATCATTGCATTGCACTGCATACACCACATTGCTGTTTGTGACTAGGAATCTTGTCCTTAGAGTGGACAAGTTTCTGCATCTGGGCTTGAAATGCACCAGGATTTGATGAGGGTTAAAGATCCTTAGGTTCTACAGTTCTCACTAAAACAAAATACAAACGTGGGCGGCAACACAAAACAATACAACCGAACTGGACACCAGGAACAAATGGGTTAAAAATTTGTCAGACAGAGACACTTCAGCTGAGTCAAAAGTCCTAGCCAAAGGACTAAACCTTGCAATAACCTTGAAGGAGCTACCAATGGTAGATCTCATAACAGCCACAGAGTCGGCCATCAAAAAGAACATACTACCAGAAACGGAGGTTGAGCAGCTCAGACTTATAGTATCAGCAACACTCTCAAGTGCAAAATTACCTCCATCCAACATCTCCACCTAGGAGAGAGGCACTGAACACACACTGAACACACTGCAGAAAAAAACATCACAATCTTACCAGCAGACAATGAGAGATCCAAAAATATATATTTTCCTGCATGTTTCTCAACAAATTAAGGGATTTAGAGAACAATTTTTAAATTTTTTTTATATAAAATATATTTTTCTGAATTTTAACCACAGA